TCTTCTGTTAGAAATCAGCTATCTGACGAGACAGAAAGGTAGTTGGTAAGAATGATGACTGCATTGCACCTAATGATTTTTTTTTGTGGGAAACATGGTGGACGCTCTCTGCCACACACACACTCAGTATTGATCAGACCTGTGTTCAAATTCCAGCTCCTGAGTAGCTGAGTAACCATTGGTAACTTGTTAAACCTGAGTCTTGGTTAACTATTCTCTAAAATGGGCACAATATCATCTACTTGAGTGGCTGAGATCAAATGTAACAGCTAATATTAGCACATCAGTTTTTAGCATTGACATGCTGAACAATTTCTAGCAGCTATTATTATCATTCACATCACCTTAACTACCCTGTCAATATTTTAGTCACTTCCATCATTACCATCATTTGTGAGGGACCTTAAAAAACCCTGGAATCTTGCTCCTACGGCCTCATTCTATTTAAAGAAAATAGCATGGTTCTAATAATGTTCTTTCCTAATGATTCTTACTCCCTACTCTAGGGGGTTCAAAACAACTGTTGGGAAAAATTCCTTTCCGTTGGAAGTAATGCTCTGTGCACGAAGGGGGAATGGCACCTTTTCAACCTCGTTACTCTGTAAACTCAGATGGCGTCACTGTGCATCAGGAAGGCTGGAGTTGGAGGCTCTTTCGCCTTTCCATTCTCAGGTAACTTTGTTAGCAAAATCTCTCAAGTTGTCTTTACAGGACTTTGCAGCTTTTATCTTTGGCTCTTTTATCATGATGCCCTTTGCTTTTGACACTTGGGGCAAGTCTAATGGCAATACCCCTTTCAGAGCTGTTTTTTTTTTTTTTTTCAAATGACATTCAATACATCCATAGTGTGATGCCTGATCCAACCATCAATGTGGCATCTTGGGACAACTTCTAAATTTTCTATAATCATTTGTATCTTTCCTACTGATTGAACCTTAAATGCGCCCGAAGGCTTGTGTGTCAAAAGCTTGGATGTCCTCAGCTTGGTGCTGTTAGGGAGTGGTGGAAACCTTTAAGAGGTAGGGAATGAGAGGCTCTAGGTCATTGGAGCATGCCCTCACAAGGAAGTGGGGAACATTGGTTTTCCTCTCTTAGTTCCTGGCCATGAGGAGAACTGGTTTCCTCTGCCTCTCTCATTGTGATATACCATGTTGTCACAGGCTTGGCACAATAGGAACATTTGGTCGTATAAGGCAGATTCTGAATCTCAGGGGGAAAAAACAACTTTCTCTTGCAAGTCTTAGACATTTTGTTATAAAACAGCAAGCTGATTCAACACTATCACTATCTATACAATGGGGACATTAATATCTACTTCACGGGGCTGCTGTGAGGATAAAAAAGGTGTTTGCAAAGAGTACACAGTTGGGAAGAACCTCACAACTATAAAGTACCGCCTTGTGTTTTTGGAATAGTTATTTATTGCAGCTAATATTAATGACGATGCTGTCAGTGGCATTATAGTGCCTTTCCTATGTCCCCAGCCCCTTCCTAAGCCTGTCACAGAGGCATTTCTAGTTAGCATTATGCTTCTTTCTGGGGACATTTAATTAAGTTCAAACAGATCCTTTTATTACATCCTCAGTGAAAAGATCTGAGGAATTTCTAAAGAACAATAAGTAAATAAAATCATGGTAAAATTATTTGAATTGAGGTGTGAGATAAACAGACAAAAATGGACAACACAGGGTCCTATTTGTTTCCTAGAATTGCATTGTAAATTAGCTTTGAGCTTTCAAACTGCTTACTTAATGAAACAGGACACAGCTATTCCCTTTAGAATATTTAAGATAAACCCATGATCAGAAGGATGTGGATTATATCCGTAAGACTTCCTGTGATTAAGTCTTCTGGGCATTTCTCTCCAAGTCTTTGGTGAAGAGGTTTCTGTGAAGCAGCATTATAGGATGCTAAGTGGTAATTTTACAACAGTGAGTTTCATGGTTCTCCCAACTGTATTATGATGCTTTGGTGATGGGTTGTCATACTTCTGTCCTTTCCTATACTGTGAACTCTTATGTAAGGGCCTATGTGATCTTTATCATTGTATACTGCATATGTAACACACCAAAAGGCATTTAACTATTGTTGTGGAATATTAGTTAAAGATGTGTTACATTCTTTTATGTTGCATTTGTTTAACTCTGTGAAGCTGTGTTACTTTGTTTGTCTAAAACACCTGATTGGTCTAATAAAGAGCTGAATGGTTAATGGCTAGGCAGAAGAGAGAAATAGGCAGTGCTGGCAGGCAGAGAGAAAAAATAAGAGAAGATAAAAAGAAGAGGTGGAGCAAGAAATGGAGGAGAAGAGGATGCCAGGGGCCAGCCACTCAGCCACACGACCAACCTCAGAGTAAGAGAAGAAACACATATAGAATAAAGTAAGATTAAAAGCCCAGAGGCAAAACATATTTAAAGAGAAATGGGATAATTTAAATTAGAAAAGCTGGCTAGGAACAAGCCAAGCTAAGGCTGGGCATTCATAAGTAAGGTAAGGATAAAGTCTTGGTGTATTTGTTTGGGAGCTGGGTGGCAGGCCCCCAAAAGAGTAAGAACAAACAAACAAACAAAACCCCCCTATAATTGATTAAATAACGATATGATGAGGATGTTAACTGTTTTCAAATATATTCCAGAGACTTAAAAAACACAAAACAAAAAACAAGACATATGTTCGAAATGAACTGAAGCATCAACATTTTCATAGCCTACCTGTTCTATTTCTGTTTTCCTAGGTTACTGTTTATCACATATGCCTAATTTTATCCTTACTAGAATAATTTTTACTTCAACAGACATTAATTGTATCATCTTTACTTTAGTGGACAATTGAGAACTGGATCTTTCAGTCAACATGGAAGAGGTAATAGTGACTTTCAGTGGCATTTACTGTAGACCCATAAAAACTTTCATTATGGCTGAGGTAGTGGCAATGATTACTTATTTAGGGCATGTGGCAGCCAGTGCCCAGAAAAGATCTGTTTAGAAAACGCTTAGACGGAGTCAGATGCTATGAAAGCCGAGAGATGCTCATGTTTTCCAGCTTTACTCCTCCATCACATACATATTGTGACAACTGAACTGGATGTGAAGGGTAGGGCTGGTTTATGGGATACAATTATCGTTCATTTGGGTAAAAACCCATGAAATCCTTTAGGGCTGAGAAACTTTCCCGACATGTAAATGCTATGGGGGAAAGAAATCATCACATTTTGGTGGTAAAATATTTAGCTCAGAAGAGTTTCTAATTAGGAGAGCTGCTCTGTGTCATGATAGACATATGCTCCCATGGATGAGCACCCCATTAGGGACGAGACCTGGGAGCTATAAGGAGACAGTCACTCTACCTGCAGCCCACAGAGGCTCGTCTGGCTTCTGCTTCACAGCTTCTCTGCAATTGTGTCCCTTTGAGGACCTCTGAATGTACTTGGGAATTATGAATTTCCTGGAATCTTAGAATTCCCATGGCTTTCTGTGACTCCTCTTTTGAGTCCCCTAATTCTGTGACTTACTTCTTTCCACGTGACTACCAAGATGCCACTCTACTGGTCGCAAACACAGACACTGCACCTCTTTGTCTACACATTATTCATTTTTATGTAAGCCCTAAGGAGACTTGTGGTGCTTTCATGGCCATTAGGTTTAGATAAAAAGGATAAAA